TATATTATTAATTGTAAAAGCTCAACAATCAACTCATATGACTGGTTTGTAGTCATAACAAGTAGTATAAAAGAAAAAAACGTGTAATTAGGGAAATGTCTACGCGTCTCAGTCTAAACGCTGCATCGCAGAATTTGCGTCCATATTTCTGAGAGCGGCATACGATTTCTTATTCAATAAGCAAATATCCAATTAATATGCAGCCTTTCCCAGTGATCCTTATAAGTCAAGCCAAACAGCCACTGAATATAACCAGTACCGTTCGAGTCATAATATTACGCATGATAAAATATAATACAGAGAGGCATTTTTGCTCGCGCAAGCAATTGTTACCCCCCTCGTACGTGTTCCAATACAGGACTGATACTGAGTATGTCACAGAGCTAACCACTATAGAGACCACTATAGGTCTCATTCATATCTCAGCAAAGATATCGTATCAATTCAGCTCGTCCAGTCAGCTAGGTGAGGTCTTTTTTGCTTCTACTAGCCGTACAAGGTAACAAATGATTTTTTGCTTCACAGAAAACAGATCAAACGACAAAGCAAAGGACTTGGGTTGAACGATAGAAACGTTTTGTTCTGTAATCTACATAGATAACAGTTATGATAGTACTACTTTATTTAATTTCCTATACAGTGCAATATTTGCTCGTCCTTAGATTTGGGAATAGCACAATACTAAGGTCGCAGCCTCAGTGTTACCTTTAAAAAACTTGGGAGAAATTTATGATTTTATCGAATTTTTTTCAAGTTTCCGTTCGATTTAGAGTTATGCTTCTACAGTAGATGCTCGCTGATCATTAAAAAAATCTATTTAGTCGTCTGGGTCGTTTAGACATCCTTCTAAACTACCCAGACGACTGAAATAGTTGGCTTTTAGAATCCCAGCATAAAAATATCTAAAGCACTGTATCCGACCAGTAGTTGATACTTGTGCTATCGTATTCTGAGTCCCTAAACATACTCAATTGAAAAGGGTTGTAATGAAGAAGATGGCACGCTCTCTTCACGCTTCAGGTGACTAAGATTCTATAGAACGCTGCAATATGAATTACCCTTCAAGAACGCCCCACAGCTGGATATGCTGTGCTAGTTTAAATCTCATCGTTAACGAGTTTGAGAGCTAAAGAAAAGGTCTGGTTACTGCCAGATGCTTTCTGCTGATCAATGCTAAATATATTTACGACATGCGCTACTTAAATATTACCCGTCAGACAAACCCTAGAAAGGCATTTCTCCTAATTATTAGCGTAGTCAAATATAATGGTAACGGCAATGCAAGACGCTTTCATAGAAGACGACTCTTCGTCTCGGGCAGTATATAAAGAAAACAATAAGAACAAAAGCGAACGAAAGGACAGAGAGCGGCAAAGGAAAAACAACGGCGATTTATACGTAGAGTCTGGTGCTAGACCATCCAAGCGAGCTACTGCGCGGAGGAACGTGCTGGTTTAACATTACGTTTGCTCCCGTTTCAATGCAATGTGTTTCTTTTTGTAATTTTTTCCGCTCGCACCCGCAGCCTATGTGTGTGTACTGTTTATTTCTCTTCATCCCTAATGGTTTCGAGGATTTCAGGCTATGATGGCCTTGCACGATAGAATAATACGCTTTCTAAGGATATGGCAGCTAGAGAACAAAAATGATAACCACATAAGCCAGGACACTAGAGGGATCTTAAAATAATGTCAGAATTAGTTACAGAAAAGGACGTCGTACTACCTTTTTTTCAGACCGAGAAAACTTTCGGAAAACCGTAGAAAAACAGCAACATAAGTAGTCGTGTACAAAACATATTTAATATGCATCTCATTAATGGCGAACTTAGTATGTCAAACCATTGTTGACAATTTAATCACCGTGTACGATTAAGGACAACGACAAAAAATGTGTTGCCTTCGTGCAAACTAATTATACCACTAAAACTGACAAATGAGCCAAATCGTATCACGGATCTAGACAAACAAATAAACTTCAAAGGTACATTGATTCATTACACATTAAGGGACACACCGTTAGAGATAGGATGTGTATCGAGTTGGCGTGCAGTAACTTGTAGGTCTCTAAGCCTTTTGTCTCTAAAAAGTTTGAATTAGACGCAGTCCTCTATTTCTAAGCAGTCTAAGTATTCAGCAAGAAAACGTGGCAATTGAACACAATCTCCGACGCAAAAGGTTTTTACTCCTGGTGGACGCCACTCAGGGGGTTGAGGTGAAGGAGGCCTGGACTGTTGCTGGTGTACCATAAGTGATCCGGCCGGGGCCTTTGACTTGGCTGAGTAAAACTGCTAATGCCGATAGCGGTGGGGTAAAGATCCGACCGAAAGTTGCCGATTAGATCGACTGAGAGTCGCTGTTGGTAACGGAGACAAATTTAGACATCACCAAAGTTTCGTCCAGCAATGACTTTTCTCGAGACACTGCAGCTGTTCCTTCTTAAAACAGGAGCGAATTTCGGTATACCAGAGCGGCATTATGTACGAAAAATCGAATTACCGAGAATTTAATTTCACCATAAACTTCATGCGCGTCTTTAAATCAGAGCTAATAGTAGCACTCGATTCGACGGAAACTGTAACGGGATAATGGCGCAGGCCAACAGACAGACAAGTAAAGAACGAAAGAAAAACAAAGACCGAAGAGTGATGTCAAAGCGAAACAGATCACAAGTAGTTCGTGTGTCGGATTAGCTTTCAGTTCTAGCTTTATTGTGCTTTTTTTGTAGAGTGCTTGTTATACGCAGTTTTATTGGGACGCCTAATGAGCTAGAAATCTTACGAAGACCATAGGTCACAGTACGGGGCATGCGCCTCGCTTAGTTCTATAATAATAGAAACTAGATTGCTCTAGCCAATGAAAACATATATATATCTGTCTTGTCTGATCCCTGACCAGAGCGGGCTAGATAAAAATGGTCATACTTAAAATGCGTTTCTCATTCCACTTATCATTATAAAGACCGAATCACTATTGGAAGTAGCCAAATTGAACTACTCTACGTGTTGCTTGACGAATCTAGTGGCTAGCAGTCCGATAAAATTGCGAGAACAAACGATTATTGGCCTTAAAATCTGTTCTTACATATGGAATATCCTATATGTCAAGGTTTTGTGCGTCTTTGCTTTCCGTTCTGTTGATCATTTGTGATATATTTAGGCACGATACTGGCGATTAAGAAAGCGATATTTCAAGCCATTTTTGTGTAGACTACTTATAGGCAGACAACAACAAAAGGAAAAGAGACGCACGTAAGCATGACAAACTTTCTAACTAAGTTTTTCTTATTTTTATTAGAAGAAAAACAAACACATCGGATACTTCCAAATTTTAACATCTCACTCAACAAGGTATGCAGTACCTGTACAGGAAGAGCTAGTGACGCTCAAAATTCAACCAATTATGTAACATCACGTCGGCTTCCGCTTAAATTCCCTTTGTGACTCCCATTTCCGAGTAAGAGGCCTCTCCAGGTATGCTCTAGGCACTCCTCTTCCCCCTCAAGGGAACGACCTTAGCGACGCAGGCCAAGATCGAGCCATCTTTTACGATTTGTTCTTCATTCGTGAGTAATTGTTGTATGTGACATTGTTTCCAGGCTAATGCCGCTCACCTTTTCGACATTAGAAGCGCACCATTCTCATTGGCAGTTACTAAGCTAATTCGTCTGTAAGAAGTTCCTTGATGCGATAAGCTCCTAAAAATGTTCAGGCATACTATATTGATAGTAATATTGCAACAACTCATGTCAGGCTGATAACAAGCAGATTACCCGACTATGTAGACAATGCATTCGGAATGTTCGACATAGGGATTTTCGCCTATGAGGACGGAATTTAAAGGTCTTGCAGAAAAAATAACTGGACATTTACAAGTCCTTCAAATCGACTGTCAAATAATAAAACAGAAAAGCCAATCATGATTATTCAGGACAACCATAATAAAGTCGATAAAGTTATTATAAGGTTTGAGCAAAACCGGCCATAATAGCATCAAGCGACTAAACATCCATCAGTAAACGGCTTTAGGATATTAAAAAACAGCTGGTTACAAAAAAAAAAAACTCATTGTTTGGGTCTCATGAATTGGCGCAAAATATTTTACTCGATTATATTTTTGTCGTGGAACTTTACAAAAATGGAACAGGATCAAGCCATTTCCAAAATGGTTGATTACTAGTCATGACAAATAGATTACGTGCAACAATAAGGTGCAAATAAAAAAAAAATGTGCTTCCCCCGATCTGTGGTAAAGCCCTGACTAACGCCGAAGGAAGTAATGCTACAGTTTAAATGGGAGTTGCTGACTCCGATTAATTCAGGCTTCCACTCTTAATAGCTAATAAAAGTATAACAAGTCATTGAAAAAATAAATCGGAACTGGTGAACGAAAAAGGGCATCATCTTGTGTCAGGACAATGCGAAATCGTACACATCTTTAGCTAATCAGAAAAAAATTGAGAGATCTAGGGTGAAAAATTTTAATGCGTCTTCCAGTGAAACTCGGGTCCTTCATCGTCACACATCGCCGCCCTTTGCCGGATTTCCTTAGAGGTGTTATTTAGTCCTAATAAAAAGATGCAAAAATCACTTAATAGAACGTTTCGTTTAAAAACAACAACGGATCATCTGTCAAAATAGCGCATATTCAATTTAGTAACATTATTTTCAAATACAAAAAAAATATTTGTTTCAATTTTGGCTTAAGAACGGTCAGTGTTTTTTTTTTTTACTAACTTAATATATATTCAAATCAAATAGCAAAGTTTTCACGATTGTTTCGTCAAATACTATACGTAGATTGCATGAAATAGATAATCGATATGTAAATAACGCCAACACGGCTGTTTTAATTGTAATCACTTCGCTCTCATTTTTATTCCAGTGATTCTGTTCATTCTGTGCATATACATATGCTTTTGCTTAACCATCCAAACAACGTTGGATTAGTGCGCAACATCCATGCATATATATCAGAGTATGTACGTTACTTCCGTGATATTTATAGGAAGGCGTGAGCTTTAGTGATGGGTGCAGCAGCGTACGCGGCATGCACAGTCGAGTAGGCAAGAGCTGGGCTAGCTACAGGATGCTTCGTAATGGGGGCAGTTGCATACGAAAAGGCAAGGACAGCCAAAGCGGGGGCAGCGTATCCGTAAGCTGGGGAGGCGAACGCGGCACGGGTAGCTGAGGGGACAGCGTACGAAAGGGCAGGGGCAGCCGCGTATCCATAAGCAGGGGCGGCGGTAGCCGCCCGAGCGATAAATGGAGCAGCGTACGAAAAAGAAGTAGCGGCACAAGCAGGGGCACCGAGAGCAGAAGCTCTGTAGGCGACAGTTGGAGCGGCAGCGACGTATCCATAAGCGGTAGGAGAATCCGCGTACGAGGCCACGATTCCAGCCTGGACAGTGTAAGTCAGGGCGGCAATGGCGGCAACCTTAAAAGCGATCATATTGATAGTTTGTTTTAGTCGCTAGTTGCATTCTTCTTGTTGCTGAACGACTGAACGCTTTAAATATTGTTGAAAAAATCTTGTGGGCGAGGACAAGAAGCTGGGGTGTGCTGGTGCCCTTTTTAGCCGGCCTGTTTCTGCAAGGAAATGAGTGAACTCTTGGTACTGGCTGCTGCAGAAGACGCAATACTGCATGCAGTATAAGTGAACCTATTTCTTCCGTTGGCGATCGCCAACAGTGCACCAGGACACCAGAAAGTGACACACCCAAGATTTGGATTCTGACAAGCTACAACTAAACGACCCTTAATCTGACTTGCCCCTGGGTACGGTCGCTAGCGTTTATGGTATTAGAGACAATGGATTTTACCACAGTGGGGTATCACGGGTCGAATCTATTTAGCTATCTAGCATTTTATATCTTGTGTTTTCTTTCACGATCGATTTTTAAGATTCGCTAAGATGCATAATTGGTAATCGCTTGTATTCTGGAATCGCGCGGGCAATTTTTCCTTGAGGAATTCAGGAGGGGCTATCATACACGTTCGTTGTTTTATACTTCGATTTGTATTGTGGCTATAAATGCATCACTGATGGTGAGGAAATGCGTACAAAATCTGACTGGCCATTACAGACGCGTCTTGCAATTATCGTGATTCTTTTCGTTAGACAACGTATATGATTTTTCCTCGAATGGTGCACATATGACATAGACGTAAACATGGTTGTCGTAAAGGCAGAAAACATTTTCCCCATATCTGTTTGTAATGCATCAGCCCCTAAATACGAGCCTAGTATAACGGTGCACCTTTGCTCTTTCTGGTACCATAATTTCCGTCTAAAGCGTTGACATGCATCTAATAGTTTCAGTTAGCTGATTTCAGTATCTAAATGGTTCGATTTATGCCGTTTAGCGTCTATCAACGCTTGCTGCGACAACTATTTCTTCTTTACCGACTGCTACTTCATATTTGTTTTGTAATGCGAGATAGTGCGATGGATAAAGTGTGTCTTCTAAGTTACTAAATCGCAACTGGTGCGTTGTAAGTTGAGGCGGTTATGGTCGGCCATTTTTGGGATATTTTTTAGTTTAAATTCGCCGTATATCAGTTAATCATCCAGAGCTATTTTGCTTAAGGATTAATAAAAATATGCTCGATATATTCGATTTTTTCTATGCAGCCCAAAAGAGGTGAGATAAATCCTGCTTATTTTTGAGTTAACAATAATAAGCACATCTGGTACACAAAGCTATCTGACAAGCCTGCCTTACGGCTGAATTAAAAAATGCATATAATGAAACATTTTGATGATCTCAGATTATCTAAAAAGATTAAAAACACTACTTTGTACATATAAACCTATACCCATATTCATACGTAATGAAAGCAGCGATTCTCTCCTATTATTGCAGTTTACTACCCACCAGTTCAACGTATCTTTACTGAGTCTATTTACTTAGTTTTGCTTATCAGATCAACCAGCTCAAATGTTTTAAACGATAATGTCCACTCTGCTTGGGCCCGATACCGTATTAAGTAGCCTTTCAAGGTAACCATACACTAATTAGTATCACAGTGGCTAAAGCTATCGGATTGACCTCCTTAAATAGAAGATGAATTCCTGCTGTAAGTAAAGATAATTAAATTTTCACACGCATTATACTGCACCGGAGTGCACTTATATACAGTAACAACGTTCTAGCAATCGTATCACTCTGAAAATGACTTTGCTGGCTTAAATTGATTAGTTTTATAAGTTTCATGCATTTTTAAATGAACTAACCCTAAGCCAATAGCATCATTTGAACTTGCGGCAAATTACGAGGCATAGTGAATTTTGTTTTCTAACTTCCTTCTATTCATCTAAATCTTTTTCAGACGACCTTTACTAAAAGTATCTATTTAAGTATCAAGTCTACGACAAAGAAAATCAGGCCTACTTAGTCTTGATCACTTCCATCCCCGTGATAGCTTACTGGGTGACGTGTTTGTCTGCTAATTTTAGAAGCATATGATGATGTAGGATTAAATTCTAGTGTAGACACACTTCGTTTCGTGCTGGGGGCCAACCCTTTGATAAATTACCTAACGGCGGTACCGGATGTAAAACTCAAAAGATTCAGTCTAGATCACTTCAACTTATCCAGGTATCACTTCATAGCAACTTACCGTGGATTTCAGTTAAATTGAGCAAAACAATATAAATAATGTGCAGAATTATTTGCGCTTAGCTAAAATGAATATGCAGGTCAACGGAGAACACATAATTACATTCAACGAACAGATTGGCATCTCGTAGGAAGTCATCGAAAAATGAATTCGATAGTATCTGGTGGCAAATCATTAAAGGTATAACATTATTACTAAAATTCTGCCTCGAGCTGAAGTTGGACAACAGTACTTTACTGTTATAGGTTATAGGAACAAAACAGACATTCGTTCCTTCCGCAGCGAAAAGTTACTATAACCAGGTCACTTAGTACAGCACAGAAACATGGTCTGTAATATAATTTTAATGCTTTTTCCGTTTAAGCGAGACATATTTCTACTCTATTAACTCTATATTAATTCATATTTACGTTCAATTTATGTAATTACATATAGAGGAAATGTTATTGCCTGCATTAGAAGTAAATTTTCCCTTATTCAAGGTATTTACGCCTCTTTGAACTGCTTATTCACAGCGTCACTTTTATGCATATCACTAAAATAGTACATAAAAATAATCATTCTATATAGTAAATAAAAAATTAGGACACTTGAATTTATTAACCGTTTTGTTTTTAATTATTTTATCTTCGCTATAATTTCCTTATTACTCTTATGAAACATCAAATGTGTAATTTTCATTTTTTTTACATGTTACATATCGTGATAGTTCCAGTTCTCCTTGGTTTGGAAAAACAACACGAGGCATTTAATACGAACGCGTGAGCCTAAACAATGGACCCAACAGCGTAAATGGCATGGATAGGGGCGGCATGTATGGCCTAGTGTGTAGGAGCAGTGACAACAGCCATAGCGATAGGGGGGGGAGGGGGGACAGCAGCGTATCCAAAGGCGGAGGTAGCTCGAGCTGGGGCCGCAAAAACAGTGGCAGCTGCGTATTCGTAAGCGGGTGCACCGAGAGCGGTGCGTGTGGGAAAGGGACCAGCATACAAGAAGGTGGTAAAGGGAGCAGCGTATCCATTAGGGGACAGCAATGGCGGCCTTTGCTATGGAGGCCAACGCGGCAAATTTGAAAACGAGCACTGTATTTTAACATAGGTTGGTTATCGGGCTTCTGTGACCGATGCGAAGTGATAACTTAATTCGATCTGTAGTTATTAAATACGGGCGATGGCTTCGTCAGTTGGAGAGCGATCAAATCACTGTTTACGTCCTAGATCTATGTTGCGTTCAGTGCTTATTCAAGAACTAGACACATGGAACATGTGAAAAGACAAAGTTAAAAAATCATATCATGAATGGAGACAAGCGGTTGTATTCGGCGTCTGATGTTTTTTCCGATGGACTAACGTCAAGCCATAGCTTGAAAATAAGATACGTCAGTTGTTTGTTAAGTGATTAAGGCTTCCGGTCTGGGAATTTCGCTGCGGGGTAACTATAAATCCCGTTCAAATCATTAAACTTATTTATCCAAATGTGTTGACTCTTTTTTTATCTGATCTGCGAAAATTCTGTTCCCAGTACGGCTCATGTTTTTGGACTAGATATTAGGATAGATATGTATGAGTCGTTGATCAGGTGAGCATTAACAACGAGGACGACGACAAATTGTATGGATCAGACCTACTGCACGAATTCGGTATTATCGATGCCATTATATTAATTTTGAAAATAAGTGAAGTCTTCTTACCGAAGACAGTACATAAACACTACGAGTTGGCACGACAGACAGTTCACATTCACAACTTCATTTTGTATTTGGTATGAAACGAATTAAACTATCTGCATAAGGAATTATAGAACTTAAAAAAACAAGACCATTAATACTCATAGTCTTTATCAATGGCTTAGCTGTATGAATAAAAAAAAAAATACTACCAAAGCCTTTTCCCATGATTTTCTACTTTTAATAATTATTTTAATAATTTTTCAATTAAAAAGTCCCTTCATTGCTTTATTCAGGCGAATTTTGTATATGTGTTTACTAGTGGACTCAAGCCAGCGATCCCGGATGCCTTGTTAACACCACACAGTAAGTAACACATCGACGTATTATGTATACAAGGACTGTAAGAATTACAATGTACATTTATCAGTCCTGTACATCAACGCTTATTGCAAAAAGTGTAGCCTATTAGCTTCTAAGAAACGCTGCCTTATCGATGAAAACCACCAGTGATTAGGGGTTGGAAAGGTTTCTATTAAGGGGAGAATTAAGAATTTCTGAGAAAAAGTCGTTGAAGGCTTGCATGACCAGGTGCTACTACGTACATCCATGTAAAGGTAATTGTCACGTACAAATTTAATTAATAAATTAAACCTTGATAAAAGAAAATTAACTATATTTTTGTATAATAATTTTTTTCAACACACATTAGAATGGTAACAGCATCGGGGAAAGCATTTCACATAAGTCATTTATTTGTCCGCCCATTTTTGACAGTGGGCTTTAATTGTAAAAAATCGCCGTCGTGGCAGTTACTGAATGTTGGAGGCACCCATTCATAAATCGATTAAATAAGTTATAATTACTAAACGATGATAGTATACGTATGTATAGCACCGGATGATAGCTGCAAACAAATGTTTACTTATTGTGGTAATAACATGTCTCAGAGAGGCGAATGAGAGAAAAGCCGAAAACAAAATAAATGCAGATAAAGTTAGCATTTCAGGGGACACGGATGAAGTAGATCTTTTCATCTAAAATAATGAGACTGCTAATCCAAGCGTTATGTACTATTTTATAGTTTCAATTAGTCCTTCAACTGATGAATGCCTAAATGATCATATTTGTTTTTTAAATAACCTGGCGTATTTTCACTCAGT